TTTTGTTTTTTGTTGGCGAGTAGTTTTGCTTGCGGATGTGTTTCACTTTTTTCTTTTTGTTGTTTTCCATGCAAAATCAGGTGCCACAAAAAATCATCGGAATGTGTTGAGTGATGTAAAAAATTAAAATTTTTTAGTCGTGATCCGATCAACAATCAAAAAAATTCATAATTTTGTCTGTGTTGAGAAAATTGTCTTTAAATTTTGTCAATTAGAAGGGAGCAAAGCGATCGAGGAAAGTTAGCTAATTTAAAAATTAATATTGTTTAGGCATTTAGGCTAAGAATTCTTATTAAAAACGAATAATATTTCAGGAAGTTTCATTCGGCGCTTCAATGCCAAAAATAATTTCTAAAAAACTTCAAAACTGCTGTTCAAATTAGGCAAAAATTAAATTGTTTTTACATGTTTTGGAGACAAAAATTGTCGATTATGCCTAACTCACAAATTTTCTTGGCGCTTATTTATTTTTCTAGTCATATTACACGCTAAAATCTCTAATACTTAGAGGAAAACTAGTTATCGTACTTTTTGAATAAATAAGGCAAGAAATTTGGTAGACAAAACAGATTAAACGTCTGGTAGTAAAACTTAACTATGACAAAACAATTAAAATTTTCCCAAAAAAATAACAATTTTACCTAAATCATCGAAATTATTGTTTCCAAGATCATCTTTAGACCAAAAATCAAACACGTTTTTGTCCTAACTGAGACGAAATACTTTGTGTTAGTTAATCAAGTAAAGACTCAAATACTAAAAAGCTATGATTTTGCGTAAATTTTGACCCAACTTGACTAAGTTTCTGCTACCAATTTTGTAAACAACGGTAAAAAAGACAATAATTTGAAAAAAAATATATCTCTAGGAAATTTTTAAGAATGGGTAGCAACATTCTCTATAAATTTCTATGTGGAACAAAAAAAAAAGTAAACAGAAAGTCAATGCTAGTACAATTACAAAATGCAGCATAAAAGAAAACACCAAAAGCAACTACAATGAAAATAGCTTACGGTAAAAAAAACGTGTTGTATAAATGTGGCAACTAAACCGACAAAAACATAGACAGACAAACAATAAGATGAAACATTTACTTGAAACAGACTATTTCTTGTTTGAAAGATGAAGCATGCCCTGGGCAGATCCTGGACTTTTGCCGCCCGAGGCGTCTTCGTTACCTCCAGGATAAGTGTGCCGGAGACGCCAAGAAATTTGATCTCATCGGTAACCAGCTATCCCTGTTACCATATCCTTGGTAACATGGATAGCTGGTTACTGTGCAAGTATCACAGACTGTTCCGACCATCGTCCTAAAAATACAACAAAAATTTCTTCTCAAATTCTGGTAGTTTATTCGGAATGATGTGATCAAATGATATTAACAAAAAATTAGAGCTTAGGCATAGTTGAAAAACAATTTTTGGAGGAAATTGACTAGACAAACAAAAAAATCAAAAGAAAATTCAAAATTTTTGCATTTTTTTGAATTTTTGAAAGTTTCCTTGAAAAAAACTAAGTTGTTACGGCTTAAATCCAGCTATTGCAAGCTTTTAAACCTTTAAAATAATTTTTTGTTGACTTTTTTTTTCGCTCGAATTTAAAAATAAAACAAAAATTTCAAACCGATTTTTCTCGACACTAGAAAAAAAAGATTTTTTAATATTGTTCTCTTCACGATTGAAATAGCTTACTATGGTGTACCAGTCTGATGATTATTTCTGGTACCTCATTTTGCGTGGGAAACAAAATGTAAAAACGAAAACACAACTGAACAAAAATTCCTCCCCATTTTCAATGATTGGAATAAACCTGTTTAGAAAAACAAATACCGAAAATTGAAGAGGAATTTTGTATTCGGATGTGTTTTTTTTTCTTTTTGTGTTCCACGTACTAAAATCACGTACTACAAACAATGATTGGACTGGATTTGGTGATAGATCATATTGAAGCTCTTTCAGTCGTGATTCGAACCACAATAAAATTTTCAAAAAAATTCCCACTGTCGGGAAAAACTGGCTTGAAATTTTAAATTTTTTGTATTACTCGAGCGAATAATGCAAGCGAGCAGGCGTACAATTGAACTATGACTAGAAAACTTAGTTTTTAAGACCTTAAAACTTAGTTTTAAGCAAGTAAAACCAGTTTTTGGAGTTTTTTGGCTTTATTTTGGGAACCAAAACAAAAACTTCAAAAAGATCAAATTATTTTGCAGAAAATTATTGAAAAAAAAAATTGTTTTAAATTTTTTTATCTCGTCAATTTTCCTGAAAAATGTTTTTCCAATGTTCGGCCCCTTTTGTCTCAGCTGTAGGAAACATCAATTTTTTTGATCGGCCAACTCTAAGATATTTTCGTAAGGCAATTTGATGTCACCTCATTTTGTCGTTCGGCCTCATGCGACCTCATTTCGTCGTTCCGAACGTAGTGTATTTTAACATGTTAAATTACGCTACGTTCAAAATGACGAAAAGAGGTTGCATTGTTTGAATTTTTTACGGTTTGGGAAAATTCTAGATCCGTCCGCCCCCTGAATTTCACTCCAAATTGCTTTGCTCCCTAAAAGTTTGCTTTACGAACATAAAAATTTGAGATTTTGTTTTTTGAGACATGAAACATTAAAAAAAGCTAAGTGCAGCTTTAATGACGACTGAAACGATTGATATATTACTCGAACTCATCTGAAATTTATTTGCGGCACCTGATGATGCGTAAAAAATTGTAACTTCTAAATTTCTTTCACTTTCGTTAGTCTTGCATTTGTCTTGCACAATGACAAAAGTAGATTTTGCATGGATTATAACTCCCATAATTTATTTGTAATTAGCTCATGGATTAATAAGTCAATATAAAACAAAAAAGATTTAGAAAAAAAAAACAGATCTATGAGCGCAATCCACTCTTTCGTAATTATTTTGTTTAGTGTGCATTAAGTGTTGTTTTTTAAGTGTTTTTGCACCAGCGGATTTTGGTGGGTGTGGCGGCGGGCTTACGGGCGGACGCCTTCTTCTCAGGTCATCGATCCCCAGTCCACTCAAAGGGTCCCCCCTTTGTACTATTTTGAGATTTCCATTTTTGGGTGACTGGCCCTAAAATCTTTTTTATAAAATACTAATTTTGACAGGGGAGCGCGCGCCGAAAAACAGCATTTTTCGGTCAAAATTTCTCAAAAGTGCCTCAAAACGCATTTTTTGGCTTGTTTTTTTAAATTTGCCTGCGGCGCACAAATTGTGGTCAAAATGGGGTCTTGATAGTGGTTGGGGAGAGTTCAGAAAATCAATTTGGTCGACCAAAAAAAATGTTGAAAAAATGTTCAATTTTTTTGTAAATCCGTCCCCCTCGAGAAAATTCTAGTTTCACCCGAATTTTTGCCTTCTGTGTAGGACTTTTAAGTGCTTTATTTTCACCAAAGATTGTCGGAAGAACAGTTTAGTCAATTTTGAAAAATTTTCTATTTTTTTTTATAGCTGGTCGCAAAAATCCTAGTCTACAAGAAATTGGCTGGAAAAATGTATTACTTGGCTGTTTACTAATTTTACGTATCACTATTAAGTACCCTTTTCTTGAAAAATGAATTCTGCTGTTTTCAATATGCTTTCAAAATCCGCATGGTTGATGCTCTTGTAATTGGATGAAAGATATCGATCAGTGGACAACAGCATTTTTCTCATTTTTTTTTGGAAATAAACCACTGAAGTATTGATCTAAATTTGAGAAAATATTTGTTTTGGATCAAAATCCACGTTTTTTTGCTTAAAAACAAGCTCTCCTTATTTACTTTGTAAATTTTTTAATTAAATTTTTCCACTTCCACATTCAGTTCTAGAGTAAAGTATACCACTAGCCGCACATCTATAATGGATACACACGCTCGGAAGTTTCTGTTTGTTTTTGCCCTAACCATGACTGGATCCAAACCCTGGATGTATGAGGTGAGGGTCAAGGGGCAAATAGTGGAGAGCGAGTGGATCATATACAACCCGTACCTTACAAAAACTTGGAAACCAGATCTGAGCATCGTAAAATCTTGCCTATTTCAGATCTTGTCCAGACATGGTGCATGTTTCGTTTGGACATGGACTTGTCTGAATCAGGACTGAGGCAGGTACGGATTCTATCTCAAAAGCAGACCTGCTCAAGGTCTGATTCAGACCTGGGGCACACATGGGTCAGACCTGGTGCAGACCTGTTCAGATCTGACCCATATATGTTCCAAGTCTGAATCAGACCTTGAGCAGATCTGCTTTTGTGATAGAATCCATACCTGCCTCGATCCTGATTCAGACATGTCCATGTCCAAACGAAACATGCACCATGTCTGGACAAGATCTGATAAAGGCAAGATTTTAAGATGCTCAGATCTGGTTTCCAAGTTTTTGTTGGATAGATTTCCACTCACTAAAATTTCACAAAGACTCCGGGGCAGATCGATTCAAGGGTCTAAAAACAGTTTTGATCAATTTTTTACATCAGTCAATGACAACACTTTCGAGAAAATTATTTTATTCCATTTCACATCTTTCAATTTAAAAATACGAAGAAATATTTGTTTTCTAAATCATGTTAACCCTGCATATTGCAATTTATTGTTCAAAATCAAGCTTAAAAAATGAATTAGTTATCAGAATTTTGCATCATGACTGCTTTTGTTCTACAGAATACTTTTTATATCGTGAAAAGATCGTGATTATGGAGTCGCTTGTGCAACTACTAATCAATTTACTTTGTTTTTTATCGAACATTGCTTAGCTCAAAACGATTGCGTCCGAATACTTAAATTAAGCTTCGTTGTGATGTTGTAAATTAAAATGAAAGTATCGCAAATTCAAGCCTTCAAACCAAAATATGAGTAGCACCTTCAACAATCACCAGTTCAGATTCGGAGGAGGTCCATTTATCAGGTTACCTAATACGAACAACTGTCAACTGACGTCACAATTTCATTATACAGTTCATACTGATGTTGGCCCGCTCTTGTTCTCTGTTAGCCCCCCCACACCACATCACATCCTGTCGAAGTAGTCATCCAACTTCGGTTGTTCCTCATTCAAGCCCCTTCGCTTCCTGATCTTCATCATGATTTTGTAGGCCTGGTTGTTATCGTAGAACTGTTTGACCTTGGCCGGGTCCTTCATGTCTTGGGGATGCACCGCAAGAGGATCGTAGTTCATCACCTGCCAGTGGTCAAATACACACTGAAGGAACGCTTGTCCGCCCGTCGCTTTCCGTAAATATCCAGTGCATCCTACATGAGAGACATTGTGTTTTATCAATGAAAAAATTCATTCAAACGCTCTTTAGTCTGCAACATTTTTAAATACAATATTTTTGATAGCATTAGAGTTGTACTTTGTGGGCAATAGTACAAAAATACTTAAGAATAATACCACGCACCTTAAGATCAGAAAACAAGATCATAACCAACAAACAGTTCAAGAAAATTAATGAACGCAAGCAAACAGAAATACAACTTTTTTTTCATAAAGGTGCAACTACCAAATTTCAAAGAACAAATAGATGCCCTTAAAGCTATAAAGTTTGTTTAACAAGTTACCATTGCTACTTTTTCGATAAAAATGACCTAATTTGAGAAAACTGGATCAAAAGGAAAAAAAACTTATCGCTGGGAAATCTGAAAATTAAATTCCCTTTCGAAGCGTTTTTCGTTTTTGCTGTCAATCCGCGAAATTAAGCATAGACAAATAAAGACTTTTCCTGAAAAAATTATTCTTCAGACCTAAATAAGAGTATGAAGTACGTTCATCGACGGCTCTTTCTTCCCCCCCCCCCCCCAACTGCGAGTTTTTAGAGCAATTTTTCTTTTCACATTATTGGATTTTTAAATAAAAATTGGCATACGGACTAATTAGGCCATGACAAACATATTTGGTCTTCATGCTCAGTGTAAAACCACTCGTTAAACCATGAAGTCGATGCTTATGTGAGGTTGGGGAAACGGAAGAAGAGCCTCTTAATCGACTGTTAAAGCCTGCTTTCAAATTACCGAATGATTCCAACACAGGCAGATGGGCCTTGACTTTGTACTGTGGTGTGCCTGTGATGGGATTCTGCTCTCTGCTCGAAGATATTTCCCCTCCTGGCATTCATGGCACTGCTCACTCCAGACAAAACCTCTCCTGGGCACTGGATCTCAACCAGGTACACTGGCTCCAGAAATCTGGGCTCTGCCATCATCTGCGATGCATAGAGCACCCTCCTGGCTGTGGGAATGATCTGACCACCTCCTCTGTGGATGGCATCCGTGTGCAATGTTACGTCGTTAATTCTCCACCTGATGCCTCTGCAGTTTTCGTTCGCAATAACACCCTACAAAATTCACGATGAAACTAACAAAATAAACACATAGCCGACAGATAGTTATGTGTCAATGAACGAGCAAAAAAAATATTTACTTTTCGAAATTCTGGGCAAAAATTCATCGCTTTAAGCTTCTTTCAATTTCCAGAATCTCAAATTAACAATACTATTTAGATACATACAACTATCGCATTCGAGAACACTCAATTAATAAATAATTCAAATGCACTTTTCATCCTTTCGTACCATTTCCCTTAATTGGAGAGCGCAGTTTGTCTTTCTTTTAGAGACCGAATTTTTTTTGAACTTGAAAAAAAAATCATCTTGACCTATTCTGGGCGACATTGAAAAAGCATCATCATAAAAATTCAAAACTCCAGCTTGATATCTTTTCTTTTCATTCCAACAGCATGAAAAACCTGACTACTTTTTAAAGAAAACTGAAACATTTGACAAAAATGTGTGTGAATTTATAAAACCGCCATTGAAATTTGCTGAAAAAAAATCAAGCCATTGAAATGGTCAGAGCAAGTTACAGCTCTTGACCTTCATGATTTCGCCCAGTCAAAAGTTATTGGAAAATCCAATAGCAAAAATTATACTAAAAATTTTCAACTACGTTCTCGATTCTTAAAAGTTCTTCGAAATTAATTGGGTCCTATTAAGTGCTCAATAAGCATCGTTTCTCTTGTCTGAAAATGACAGGGAGATCCACAAGGCATCATAATTTAAATGCCCTCATGAAGCAAATTTTCGCCTCCACTCACTTGCCTTGTTTTGTAGCGACGGCACAGAAGCGAGCAGACGGTTTGACGCTCAACCAATGGGCTGTCGGTAATTGGCTCGGTAGCCCCTAGTTTAATGAGCTCGGGTTTTGTTTGTAACCATGGAATGACCGCGACCAAGGCTGAAGATCGCAAAGTTCGTTTTCTGGTCTGTTTAGGGTTAAATAAAAAATTACCAAGTTTAGGCCATCAGTCAAACGACTTGTGATCAGCTTTCCTTTACACGCGAAAATAACCATATAACTTGGCTTCGGATCCCACGACAACGTGATTACTACTAAAAACTCGGCGATGAAGCCATTATTTATTAGGTTTATAGTGACAGTGGTTTACTAAATCCATTGGAGATCGATTGACTTTTCCCTCTACTCTAACTACTCATGCTCTGGAATGCTAACCAGTTTTGGAGTAAATTAAATACGTTCATGGCATAACAGCAGCTGAAATGAGTTTTTGAAGTCTCTCACAGTCACTGGGCACGGGCCTCTAATTCCATTCTTTCCGGAGATAACGTCGTTATCTCTTCAATTTCGTGACACGGGATGGTTCAGATCCATCCGAATGTCCCACTGGACCTACCGTCTGTATGATTTTCTCCCAATAAACATTTTTTCGTTTCCTGTTCTCACGATAAGAAGCTTCGTTCTTCTTCCAATTTTCACTCTAAATTTCCGACTGAATTTCGTCTTGTAACCCGGTTAATGTGTTTTTCATCCATTTTTCAGTCAAAATGGCCTCTTCTTGCATTTCTTGCAGAACAATCTGAGCCTCTTTTTCATCACAAATTCACTGTCAACGCTTTTAATGTCTTTTTTCACGTGCATCGGCTGGTTCGAAAGTGCCAATCCGGGGGAATGGCACAAACAAATAGCTTTGGAATTTCAGGGTGCTGCTAGTCCTAGCATTGAGGTTTTTCCAAATAAACTCTAAAAGAACTTGAGCATGTGTACCGAAGGAGAGATAAAAATTTTCGTTCAGACCTGTACAGTGTGCAATTTGAGAGAAAAATTTTCTCCATTGAAAATAGAGTCATTTAACCATATTTCTTTCACCATTAAAAAATTTAGATTCGTCACGACGATGTAATTGAACAGGAAATTGTCGCGATGATAAAGACTTCGTAAACTAAAATGTAATATTCGCTCTGACAATACACAGTGACGGAGCATAGAAAAATGTTTATATTGACGACTGGCTGACGCCAGTTACATTTATCCTATTTGTTTTAACCGTTTTGACCTAACCAGTTGTTTTTCTGGCCTGTTAAGGGCTAAGTACTATTTTACCATTTAAGGCCGTCAGCCGAGCGACTGTTGACCAGTTTTCGTTTACATACAAAAATCACCACAAAGCTGGGCCTCGGATCTCCAGACAACGTGATTTCTTTTTGAAACACGGCTAGAAAACCATAATTATGTATGTTTTTAGTAACCGCTATATAATAATTCTATCAGAGATGGATTGACCCTTTCCTCGCCCCTATCTACTCATGCTCTGAGATAACAAATCAGCTATTGAGTTAAATCAGATGTGTTTAGGGCATTACAGCGGCTAAAAGGAGGCTAATGGTCGTTAAAAGTCTCTGGGCAAGTTTGCAAGTGTTCCGCTCGTTTTCTTCGTCTGTAGGTCACGTTCTTTCACGTGAAGTTTTCCTCTACTATAAATTTTAACTCGTCTCTAGATCTCTCCAGTTCCGCCCAAAGAACTTTCGTTAAGAATTCATAAGATCTTTATATGGTTTGCAATATTGTGCCGAACTGGATCTCATCAAGTATTTTGAGCCAGCGGGTTTGTGATACCCCTCGCTCTACTTCAATATCATTTCTTTTTCGAGAGCTTCTTTCCAGCCCACGATTTTTTATTCCGTCTGTAATGTTCCAGGGACTACTTCCACACTGAAGGCTGTCAAAAGCTCGTGCGTCCTCTCGAGATGTTCCAGTGATTCAATCGAGCTAGTCATGCTATGGAATGTGAGGGCGATTTTCAGGTTCACTGCGTCGCGGCAACATGCAACTAATTCAATTTCACTCCTACGTGACATTCTCAACTTTCCATATAACCTTGCTAGTCGGCAAGGTTGTTCATCATAGTGAAGAAGGGCATGTGTGTGGAACTGGTCTCCGTTCGAGAAATTTTGGTGAACAACATTGCCGACTAGCAAGATTATATGGAAAATGAGAATGTCACATAGGAGTGAAATTGAATTAGTTGCAGATTGCCACGACGCAGTGAACTTGATAATCTTTCTGGCATTCCATAGCATGACTAGCTCAATTTTTTCGGTTAATTTGGGTTTCTTATTGGAGTTTTTTTTTAAATTTTTTTTCCATAAAAGGCTTTTTGTTTTTTGTTGGCGAGGAGTTTTGCTTGCGGATCTGTTTCACTTTTTTCTTTTTGTTGTTTTCCATGCAAAATCAGGTGCCACAAATAATCATCGGAATGTGTTGAGTGATGTAAACAATCAAATTTTTTTAGTCGTGATCCGATCAACAATCAAAAAAAATCAAATTTTTGTCTGTGTTGAGAAAATTGTCTTTAAATTTTGTCAATTAGAAGGGAGCAAAGCGATCGAGGAAAGTTAGCTAATATAAAAATTAATATTGTTTAGGCATTTAGGCTAAGAGTTCTTATTAACAACGAATAATATTTCAGGAAGTTTCATTCGGCGCTTCAATGCCAAAAAATAATTTCTAAAAAACTTCAAAACTGCTGTTCAAATTAGGCAAAAATTAAATTGTTTTTACATGTTTTGGAGACAAATATTGTCGATTATGCCTAACTCACAAATTTTCCAGTCGTTTATGTAGTTTTCTAGTCATATTACACGCTAAAACCTCTAATACTTAGACGAAAACTAGTTTTCGTATTTTTTGAATAAATAAGGCAAGAAATTTGGTAGACGAAACAGATTAAACGTCTGGTAGTAAAACTTAACTATGACAAAATAATTAAAATTTTCCCAAAAAAATAACAATTTTACCTGAATCATCGAAATTAATGTTTCCAAGATCATCTTTAGACCAATAATCAAACACTATTTTGTCCTAACTGAGACGAAATACTTTGTGTTAATTAATCAACTAAAGACTCAAATACTAAAAAGCTATGATTTTGCGTAAATTTTGACCCAACTTGACAAAGTTTCTGCTACCGATTTTGTAAACAACGGTAATAAAGACAATAATTTGAAGAAAAAAATCTCTAGGAAATTTTTAAGACTGGGGTAGCAACATTCTGTATAAATTTCTATGTGGAACAAAAAAAAAGGAAACAGAAAGTCAATGCTAGTACAATTACAAAATGCAGCATTAAAGAAAATACCAAAAGCAACTACAATGAAAATAGCTTACGGTAAAGAAAACGTGTTGTATAGATGTGGCAACTAAACCGACAAAAACATAGACAGACAAACAATAAGATGAAACATTTACTTGAAACAGACTATTTCTTGTTTGAAAGATGAAGCATGCCCTGGGCAGATCCTGGACTTTTGCCGCCCGAGGCGTCTTCGTTACCTCCAGGATAAGTGTGCCGGAGACGCCAAGAAATTTGATCTCATCGGTAACCAGCTATCCCTGTTACCATATCCTTGGTAACATAGATAGCTGGTTACTGTGCAAGTATCACAGACTGTTCCGACCATCGTCCTAAAAATACAACAAAAATTTCTTCTCAAATTCTGGTAGTTTTTTCGGCGTGATGTGATCAAATGATCTTAACGAAAAACTAGAGCTTAGGCATAGTTGGAAAACAATTTTTGGAGGAAATTGACTAGACAAATAAAAAAATCAAAAGAAAGTTCAAAATTTTTGCATTTTTTTGAATTTTGAAAGTTTCCTTGAAAAAAACTAAGTTGTTACGGCCTAAATTCAGCTATTGTAAGCTTTTAAACCTTTAAAATAATTTTTTGCTAGCTTTTTTTTCGCTCGAATTTAAAAATAAAACAAAAATTTCAAACCGATTTTTCTCGACACTAGAAAAAAAAGATTTTTTAATATTGTTCTATTCACGACTGAATTAGCTTAACATGGTATACCAGTCTGATGATTATTTCTGGTAGCTGATTTTGCGTGGGAAACAAAAAGTAAAAAATGAAAACACAACCGAACAAAAATTCCTCCCCATTTTCAATGATTGGAACAAAAACTGTTTAGAAAAACAAATACCGAAAATTGAAGAGGAACTTTGTATTCGGATGTGTTTTTTTTTTGCTTTTTGTGTTCCACGTACTAAAATCACGTACTACAAATAATGATTGGACTGGATTTGGTGATAGATCATATTGAAGCTCTTTCAGTCGTGATTCGAACCACATTAAAAAATTTCAAAAAAATTCCCACTGTCGGGAAAAACTGGTTTGAAATTTTAAATTTTTTGTATTAACTCGAGCGAATAATGCAAGCGAGCAGGCGTACAATTGAACTATGACTTAAAAACTTAGTTTTTAAGACCTTAAAACTTAGTTTTAAGCAAGTAAAACTAGTTTTTGGAGTTTTTTGGCTTTATTTTGGGAACCAAAACAAAAACTTCAAAAAGATCGAATTATTTTGCAGAAAATTATTGAAAAAAAAAAAATTGTTTTAAATTTTTTTATCTCGTCAATTTTCCTCAAAAATGTTTTTCCAATGTTCGGCCCCTTTTGTCTCAGCTTTACGAAACATCAATTTTTTTGATCGGCCAACTCTAAGATATTTTCGTAAGGCACTTTGATGTCACCTCATTTTGTCGTTCGGCCTCATGCGACCTCATTTCGTCGTTCCGAACGTAGTGTATTTTAACATGTTAAATTACGCTACGTTCGAAATGACGAAATGAGGTTGCATTGTTTGAATTTTTTACGGTTTGAGAAAATTTTAGATCCGTCCGCCCCCTGAGTTTCACTCCAAATTGCTTTGCTCCCTAAAAGTTTGCTTTACGAACATAAAAGTTTGAGATGTTCTTTTTTGAGACCTGAAATATTAAAAAAAGCTAAGTGCAGCTTTAATGACGACTGAAACGATTGATATATTACTCGAACTCATCTGAAATTTATTTGCGGCACCTGTAACTTCTAAATTTCTTTCACTTTCGTTAGTCTTGCATTTGTCTTGCACAATGACAAAAGTAGATTTTGCATGGAGTATAACTCCCATAATTTATTTGTAATTAGCTCATGGATTAATAAGTCAATATAAAACAAAAAAGATTTAGAAAAAAAAACAGATCTATGAGCGCAATCCACTCTTTCGTAATTATTTTGTTTAGTGTGCATTAAGTGTTATTTTTGAAGTGTTTTTGCACCAGCGGATTTTGGTGGGTGGGGCGGCGGGCTTACGGGCGGACGGCTTCTTCTCAGGGCTTCGATCCCCAGTCGACTCAAAGGGTCCCCCCTTTGTACTATTTTGATATTTCCATTTTTGGCTGATTGGCCCTGAAATTTTTTTATAAAATACTAATTTTGACAGGGGAGCGTGCGCCGAAAAAACGCGATTTTTTGGTCAACATTTTCCAAAAGAACCTCAAAACGCCTTTCTTGGCTTGTTTTTTTTTAATTTTGACTTCGGCGCACAAATTGTGGTCAAAATGGAGTCTTGATAGTGGTTGGGGAGAGTTCAGAAAATCAATTTGGTCGACTTAAAAAAAAGTCGACAAAATGTTCGATTTTTTTTTGTAAATCCGTCCCCCTCGAGAAAATTCTAGTTTCGCCCAAATTTTTGCCTCCTGAGTAGGGCTTTTAAGTGCTTTATTTTCACCAGAGATTGTCGGAAAAACAGTTTAGTCGATTTTGAAATATTTTCAATTTTTTTTATACCTGCTCGCAAAATCCTAGTCTACAAGAAATTGGCTGGAAATATGTACTACTTGGCGGTTTACTAACTTTACGTAACACTATTTAGTACGCTTTTCTTGAAAAAAAAGTCTGCTGTTTTCATTTTGCTTTCAAAATTCGCATGATTGATGCTCTTTTTATTGGATGAAAGGTATCGATCAGTTGACAACAGCCTTTTTCACATTTTTTGGAAGTAAACCAAAACAGCATTGATCTATATTTGTGGAAACATTTGTTTTGGATCAAATTCTACGTTTTTTTGCTTAAAAACAAACTCTCCTTCTTTCTTGTTTGTAGTTTTTTAATTAATTTTTTCCACTTTCACATTCAGTTCTAGATTAAAGTATACCTTTAGCCGCACATCTATAATGGATACACACGCTCGGAAGTTTCTGTTTGTTTTTGCCCTAACCATGACTGGATCCAAACCCTGGATGTATGAGGTGGGGGTCAAGGGGCAAATAGTGGAGAGCGAGTGGATCATCTACAAACGGAACTTCTTTGGCGATGGCAACACCATCTCGGTCAGCGTTTTAGTTCGCATTTCAATTAGAACTATTAACCGGGAAAACTTAACAAAATCAATTTTTATTAGTTTTTCTATATAGAAGTCTGTATTTCCTTGAAAGCCGACACTACGGAAGCCTGCACTTCCATGCATACTATTCGGTCCATGGGTGGATTTAGGTGGTGGTGGGCATGTGGTTTTCTACCAAAAAAATATTCAAGAGCTTATTCTCAAAATAGGGTCTCTAGACTAGAAGAACTCGGACAATCAATTGAGTTCGACAAAACTTTCAAAATTTGTTCGGAAATTCACAAATTTGTTCACCCCTTGAGAAAATTCTATGTCCGCCGCTGGTTCGATCCTCAGTATTTTGTTTACTTATGTTTGAGACTTTTATCCTTGACTATAAAAAGTAAATTTGGTTGATAGGAAAATGTGCATTTAAAAAGGGCTTGGGCTTAGGCAATAGTGTTTTTAGGCAATAGCGCCTTCAAAATATTTTTATTATATTTAGTGTTTTTATCTACCCAGTCAGAGCATAAATTGTATTCGGCTCCTTTGTTTATATGAATACGTGATCGTATGAATGAGTGTAGATAGAACTGGGCAACCACGCAGTGTATCTCTATTCTCACAACCAGGCCAACAGCATCGACTACCCGAGACAGGTGAGTCAGGTGACCGCCTTCATCACAGCTGCCGACGACTACCGCATCTTCGTCCAGTTCCGACTGCCCATCTTCGAGATGACTCACACTACTATCCTCAAGGCCGACTGGGAAAACCGTAACTTCACTCTCTACTCTCCAACCGGGATTGAGGGATGGTTGGGACAAACACCCCCCAAAAATGAAGAGAAACCAATTTGACACTTTGCTTTTTTTTTGAAATTTGGGGAATTAATGGGCAATTTTGCCGCTCGGATATCAATTTTAAAGCAAATTAGACTAGGTTTACGAAACGGTTGATTCCTGCACAACTTTTAAAAGTCACGTTTCCCCTGCTCCAAGAGAAACAGTCATTCGTACCTGGAGAGATGATAGAATATGTTAATCATTGTTCCAATTTTCAAAGCTTTACATTTTTGATGTATAATAAAGCAAAAACTTTGCATCTTGTAATCATAAACTATTCTCAATAGAGGGCATCGACTGTGATACTTACCCTGCGTACCTGGACGTATACGATGGATCCAGCATCCTGGCTCCGAAGATGTTCCGCTTCTGTGGCACTGACTTCCCAAACCCGAGCGCCTTTTTCTCCACTGGAAAGTACCTGACTATGGTGGCCAATCTACCTGGACCCAGAAACGATGGAACAACCAGTGTAGGCGACTTCAGAATTGACATATCAAACTGGTAAAACTAACCCTTTTCAGTTTTGCGCATAAATGTTTACATTAAAGATTCTTGTGGAACAGGTAAATTTTTGAAAATTGAGATGCCCACGACCCATTACTCCAGACTAGTTATTACCACGCATTTCAAAACATTCTTAAAATGCAACGTCCCATAAACAACTAGCAATAGGCGGTGCTTATGGGAGCAATTCTGTTATAGTTTGTAGTTAACGGATTATCCAGTGATCATTTTTTGTTTTACAGGCATGAGCCGGGGAACTGCACGGACAATGACATGCGATGTGATGACATGTCTTGCATCCCAAAAGTTAGCAAAACTCAATTTGCTTGATGTGATTAATATTACAAAATTCTTACAATGGCGATCCCACGATTATGTCAATATTGATTCATAAAAACTTTTGCCGCGCAGGGGAAATTGTCGAACTGCCATTCGGCAACCGGATACAAAGACCGAGTCAAAACTGGAAAAAAAACAAAAAGATGGGATTTAACTTGATGTTTTTTATGTGTTGATATATTGAACTGCAGGTGTTGCTGTGCGATGAGTTCAACGTGGCCCATTGTCCAGACGAAACAGACCGACAGCCGGAGTTGAAGCCCTGGTGCACGAAGCCAGCTCCCAGGAACATCTTCAGTCTGGACTGGTTCTGGAGGATCACCATCATATATCTACTGCTACTCAGTCAGTGAAGATATTACATAGGAGATAGATAGACAAAGTGGTAGAAGATCAAGAAATGCGTCATCAAGAAATACTTATGTTGCCAAAACTAAGTGAAAAGCATCAGTAACTTTTACGAAAAAACTTTCATTTGCAATTAAATGGAAAAAAAATGAACAAACAAGCGACTGAAATCCATAGCATTACCATAATGATCGATATCTCAGTTTTATATTTTAAAAAATCATCCAACGCAGGAAAACGTCACTCAATTCGAAGTAAAGCTGTAAAAAAGACAAACAGATTGACAAGGAAATTGATTTTGATTTTACGTATTTTGCTTGAACCTATCATGCTTACTTTAGTGATCATTGCATAACACGAAAAAATGAATGAGTTTGTGCATTGGTTTGTAGACCTGGTGATCTTGTGGCTGTGCTGTGTGCGCCCTGGACTGTTCTGGTACCTGTGGGGGTGTGTGAGGAGGTACGACTGGTGGCCAGAGATATGCCACTTCGGGTGTCCTTTCTACATCCTCTCCTGCTCACGCCCAGTCCAGCCACCCAATCCCACCTCCATGTTCAAGTAACCATGTTGAATCAATTTGATAAATCAAGAACTTCAATCCGACTTTAATCACTCTATTTATTAAGATAGGGAATAGACTTCCCATGTATTAAAATAAACTTCAATTTCTGGAGGATCACCATCATATACCTACTGCTACTCAGTCAGTGAAGATATTACATAAAAGATACTTTCTAAGAAAACAAGACAACCAATGTGACTGAATTATTATTGATTCATTAATGGCTGTTTTTTAAAAAATGAGGAGGCCACAGCGCAATTTGTGAAAAAGCGCTTGCAGAAAAATTTCATCCTGTTTTGTATCCAAAATTTTCTCAAACGTAGTCATCAATAAGGTAATAAAAAACGCTACTACATTTAATTTGGATGTTTTTTATCAGAACAACGCAGTATGACGAAGTGATCTACGAGGAAGAAATAGAGGAGGAAGATGATGATGATGGGGATGGTGTGGTTGGAATGTCCAGCAGGACAGTGGTCAAGACCAAGAGGAGGAAGGGAAAGAGGGACAGTGGGTTGAGTTTCATGGACGGAATCAGCCAGGTGACCTCATCCACAGAGAAACCACCCAACTCACCACCCACTTATGCTCGTACGCAATTTCAGGATGTAATAATTGATATGGCTATAAATGGTCATTTAACTAGATTCGAACTTCCCAAAACTTGATTAAGTGTCAAACAATATGGTGAATAGCCAGCCAATTGAACAAAAATAAGAAATAGCGATATTCGATATGGTAATAGAAAAAGCTGAGAACGATATGCTACATGAAAAAAAGAACCTGCGCACTGCATGGACAATCACAATGTTTTTCGGGTACCCAAAAGATGGATATTTAGAAGTGGTTGAAGAGACAACTAATGGACGGGCTGGGCCTGGAGCAGGGGGAAATGGGGGAGCAGGCGGAGTGGCTCTGGAAATGGAGGAGACCACGAACGTAAAGAGAGGCGCAGGGGGGAAGGAGGAGCAGAGTGTGACCAAGAGGAAGATGGAACCCATTCCCCCCAACGTCTGTCTGTTTGAAGAGTGGAACATGCATGTGCGAGAAAACAGATTCTAACGGCCTAAAATTGATGAACTAATGAAAAGCAACTGAACTATACAGATTAGACAGTGTGCCAATAAGTGACCCACTGTCTGCTGGAGGCCATATTAATCTTATTAACGAACATGGAGGGATGATAAGCTCCACAAGTTTTGCCCCTATTTTTTGAATCGTCCAATTTGCATCTAAAAGGCCAGTTGAGCTCAACAAAACGAAATGCGGAAACAATAGTAG